ACGACGCTCCCATTCATGATGGGCATGGGTGTGAACCAGCTCATGTGACATACCTCCTCGCTGTCGCACAGCCCTGCAGACAGTTCACTGAAAACATCAGCTCCAGGCTCAGCCATGCTCAAAAAGGCCAGCAACACGTCCGGGGGAATGAAGAAGGGAATTGGGAACAAAACAGAAAATAGCGTGACACCCTTTTACCAACTTGTGGTGCGTCCACAGCTCCAAGACTGTGCTCAGGTCTGGACCCTGCACCTCCAAAAGGATGGAGAAGAGCTGGAGAAGGTGCAGACAAGGGCAGTGAGGGGAATCAGTCCTGCAGGAGGAGACTAACAAGGCCAGGCCTGAGGGGGTTAGGAGAGAGGCACTGGAGGAGACGGGATGGGGTTTACACCCTACTAAAGATGGAAGAGACGGTCCCAGGGGATCAATACCTGGCTGTCTCTCTCGCCAGACCAGGATGAGGGGTCACGGCACAAAATGAGCAGGCTGGCAGTGTAACATTGACACCAGGATGGTCGTTTCTCCCCACGTGGGGTGAAAGAGGGGAGCGGAGAGTTCGGCTAGATCCACCCCAGGGCTGGGCCTGTGCTGGAGGAAAAGGGACATCGGGGGTTGTGGAGCGTGGGAGTGTAGGGCACGGCCTCAGGGTCACCACGTCCTGGATACTCGATGACTGCAAGGGGGAGAGGAATGGGGGAAAACCCTACTCGGACCCCATCGCTCTCCCTTCCAGCCTTCATGTGACATGGGAGACGGGGCAGGACGGACCTAGGGTCTGACCCCATCCATGGTAGCTCTGATGTTCTTATCTAAGTGCCTGGGACAGGGAGGGTGACTCTCAACTCCTGCTCCCCACTGTGTCAGGGCTCTTTGGGCCCCAGGCAGGAAGGGTCCAGCAGGGCGAGTGGATGCCCCAGATCCACTTCAACGAGTTAAGGAGGATAGCTGGAGAAGCGCTGAAGTCTCAGAGCGGAGGAGAGCCGGGTGTTCAAGGGGAGTGGTCGCTCCTTAAGGAGACGATCCTCCAAGCCCAAAAGAAGGTAATCCCGACGAGGATCAAAGAGGGCAGGAGAGCATACAAGCCTCCATGGCTCACCAAAAACATCCGGGAATGTCTCCTTGCTAAAAAGGAGGCTTACTCCCAATGGAAAGGAGGGGTCATCACCAAGGAGGACTATTCGGCAGTTGCTCGGGGGTGTAGGGGGGTAGTTAGGAAGGCCAAGGCAGAGATGGAACTGGGACTAGCTTCCCGGATTAAGGACAACAAGAAGTCCTTTTTTAAATACATAGGGAGTAAAAAGAAGGCCCCGGGTAATGTGGGGCCCTTGCAGGACGCAACGGGGAATCTGGTTGTCACGCCAGACGACACAGCCAACATATTTAATGATTTCTTTGCCTCTGTCTTCCTCAGTAAGGACCAGAACTGCCACCTCCCTGCTAGGCCCCCATCGGGCCCCGAGGGAGGCACACCTGAGCCCAGGGTAAGTGAGGATCTAGTTAGGGAGCTGCTGGAGGGGCTGGACGTTTTTAAGTCAGCCGGTCCGGATGATCTCCACCTTAGAGTTCTAAAGGAACTGGCCGGGGTCATTGCGAGTCCCCGGCGCAGCTTTATGAGCACTCGTGGTG